CACAGTGTCTCTGTTTAGTTTCTGTTTCCATGATCTGTCGATTGATGAGAGTAGGGTATGCTTTGAGCTTTAGTAATGTTTCCTTTACAAATGTGGGTGCCATTGCATTTGGGATATATTTTCAGAATTGAGAATTCATCTTGGTAGATTTTTCCTTTGATGAGTATGAAGTGTCCTTCCTTATCTTTTTTGATAACTTTCAGTTGAAAGTCAATTTTCTTCGATGTTAGAATGGCTACTCCAGCTTGTTTCTTTGGACCATTTGCTTGGAAATTTTTTGCAGCCTTTTACACCGAGGTAATGTCTGTCTTTGTCACTGAGGTGTGTTTCCTATATCCAGTCTGTTAGTGTATGTCTTTTTAATTGGGAAATTGAGTACTTTGATGTTGAGGTATTAAGGAAGTGACTGTTGCTTCCTGTTATTTTTGTTGTTGGAGACGGAATTCTGTTTGTGTGACTATCTTCTTTTGGGTTTGTTGAAAGATTACTTTTTTTCTTTTTCTGTGGTATAGTTCCCTTGTGTTGGAGTTTTCCATCTATTATCCTTTGTAGGGTTGGATTTGTGGAAAGATATTGTGTAAATCTGTAGGAATTGTCATGGAATATCTTGGTTTCTCCATCTATGTTGAGAGTTTTGCTGGGTATAGTAGCATGGGCTGGCATTTGTGTTCTTTTAGGGTCTGTATGACATCTGCCCAGGAACTTCTGGGTTTTATAATCTCTGGTGAGAAGTCTGGTGTAATTCTTATAGGTCTGCCTTCATATGCTACTTGGCCTTTTTCCCTTACTGCTTTTAACATCCTTTCTTTGTTGTGTGGATCTGATGTTTTGATTATTATGTGACAGGAGGAATCTCTTTTCTGGTCCAGTCTAATTGGGGTTCTGTAGGCTTCTTGTATGTTTATGGTCATCTTTCTATTTAAGTCAGGGAAGTTTTCTTCTATAATTTTGTTGAAGATGTTTACTGGCCCTTTAAGTTAGGAATCTTCACTCTCTTCTATACCTATTATCCTTAGATTTGCTCTTCTCATTGTGTCCTGGATTTCCTGGATGTTTTGGGTTAGGAGCTTTTTGCATTTTCTTTGACAGTTGTGTCAATGTTTTCCATGGTATCTTCTGCACCTGAGCTTCTCTCTTCTATCTCTTATATTCTATTGGTGATGCTGTGTCTATGACTCCTGATCTCTTTCCTAGGTTTTCTATCTCCTGAGTAGTCTCTGGTTGTGATTTTTTTTATTGTTTCTACTTCCGTTTTTAGATCCTGGATAGTTTTCCTTAATTCCTTCACCTGTTTGGTTGTGTTTTCTTGCAATTCTTTAAGGGATTTTTGTGTTTCCTTTTTATGGGCTTCTATCTGTTTACCTGTGGTCTCCTATATTTCTTTAAGGGAGTTATTTATGTCCCTCTTAAAGTCCTCTATCATCATCATGAGAAGTGATTTTATATCTAGATCCTGCTTTTCTGGTGTGATGGGGTATCCAAGACTTGCTATGGTGGGAGAACTGGGTTCTGATGATCCCAGGTAACTTTGGTTTCTGTTGCTTATGTTCTTGTGTTTGCCTTTCAACATCTGATTATCTCTAGTGCTACCTGCATTCACTGTCTCTTACTGGAGCCTGTCTTTCCAGGTATCTTGCTTGTGATAGGCCTGCCTTTTTGAGTGATTTGACTTCCTTTCTTGAAACTTTCAATATCCTTTCTTTATTCTGTGTTCATAATATTTTAACTACAACATGCAATAAGGAGCTCCTTTTCTGGTCTGATCTCTTTGGTGTTCTGTAGGACTCTTGTACCTGAATGGGCATCTCAATCTCTAGGTTTAGGAAATTTTCACCTACTGTCTATGCTTTTGCTATGTATTCTGCTGTGTCCCACAATTCAAAATTCAGGGTTTTTTTGTTGTTGTTTTGTTTGTTTTTTCATAGTATTGCAGAGCTTTCCCATTTTCTGATTTATATGTATGTATAGTGTGTATATGTGTTTTGTCTGCATTTATGCAAATGTACCATGTGTGCTTGTGCTCAGTGAGGCTAAAATATGGCTTTGAAATCCCCAGAACTGCAGTTATAGATGGTTGGAAGCTGGCATATGGATCCTTAGAACCAAACTGCATCCTCTGCAAGAGCAGCAACTACTCTTACCTACTGATCCATCCATCTCTCCAGGCCCTGTTCATTCATTCACACACACACACACACACACACACACACACACACACACACACACACAGTTTCTTTTAATTTTTATTATATTTTAATATAGTATATATATTATATACTATAATATATAATACTATTATAGGACAATTACATCATTTCCTCCCCTCCCTTTCCTTCCTGCAATCCCCACCCCCAAAATCTATGAACTTTTTTCATTTTTCATATGTATATTTCTCTAAATAGATAAATATAACATGCTTAGTCTGTATAATGTTATGTGTATATATGTGTATGTATGTATTATATAAACAGTTGGTGTACTCTTCTGTGGTGACGACTACTTCTCCCACTTTCAGCATTCCTTAGTTGCCTTAGCACTTTGGGTAGGGTTGAAGCCTCCTGGGCTTTTCCTCATACATATTAACATGTCTGTTGTTAACAACAATAGTATTGTTCAGCTCATGTTTAAGTAGTCATGTTGGTGAGACCTTAGGGGTGCAGCTTCTGGCATTACTAAGAGACAGAATCTCACAACAAACTCCCTGTTCCACTAGCTTTTACCTGTTTATTTTTTTTTAAAAAACTGCTCATTGACTTTTACTGAGTGATCTAATTTTTCTACATTCTCCTCCTGCCCTGATTCTTTTTTAGTATTATTCATTTATTTTTTTGCACTCCATATTTTATCCCCCCCATGTCCACATTCCAACTGTATCACATCCCATACCTCCAACCTACCCCCTGTCTTCATGAGGCTGTCCCTACCCCCCAACCCCTACCCCACCTGACTTCTAAACTCCCTGGGGCCTCCAGTCTCTTGAGGGTTAGGTGCATCATCTCTGATTGAACACAGACCCGACTGCCCTGATTCTTTTGTTTTTTACATGATCCATTCTGTTGGTAAGGTTTTCCACAGAGGTCTTTGACTTTTTAAATTTTTATTTCCAACATTGTTTCAGCTTGTCTTTTGTTCACCAACTCTTTTTGTGAAATTATGTTTTTATATCTTATGTTGACTTCTGCATTTCATTCATGTCTTTGTTTTCGTTCTTTTGGAGTATATTCATTTCTTCAAGTTGTTTGAACATAGTTGTAATTATTCTTTTAAGTTCTTTGTCTGGAAGATTTTCCAGGTTGCTTACATTTAGGTGCCATTATATGATTGGCTGTTTGTGGAGGAGACATGCTGTCTTGGTTTTTTTTTTCTTTGTTTTTATAATTTTTTTTCTTTTATGGGACTTGCATATCTTGGGTAGTTTGTTGGTTGCGGTTTTTCCTTTCTTTGTTTATGTCTTTCCTTTTAAACTTCTCTTTCTTCCTTTAGTATAGAAATTTATAATGTTGAGGAGAAGGTTAGAGATGCCTGTAGGCATATTGTTTCTACAGTCTAAGAAGGGTTCAATCTCCCCTCTAGCCCACCACCCATCAGAGATAGTAAAAAAGGGAAGTGGGCTTGTTTAGAAATAGTTCTTTAAGGTGATTTCAATCTTTGTTGCTCTCAGTCCAGTTCACTAGCAAACACCAAATAGGAATCAGCACCTGCAGACCAATCCACTTGGTAGATACCACACATGAATCAGCAAGAGCAATTCAATCCAGAAGAAACTGTGAGGCTCACCAACTGGTCCAAGCCCTCAGAAGTGGCAAGAAGCAGCAGGAACCTCAAGAGAAGTTTTTGGCGAGTTTCTTTCTATGAAGTCACCACAAGTGAAGCTCAGCAATGCAATGTAAGGAAAACCAATACATGTGTGTCATTAGTAAAGACTAGTGAGATGGAATAAAGTGAACCAATGCTCCAGCTCCCACTGTCTGTGGGGTTATATTTATATTCTTTCTAAAAATCATAGGTCTTTTCATGTGTCTGATATAACAAAACATCCTTTCATCTGTGTGCCCCAGCAAAACATCATTGGAAATAACTGACTTTCCAAAGAAACCAGAAGTTTACACTTCAGATGCCCATTTCCCTCTGTGAGGCTTGCAAAAGATGATCTGGAGTGGTATAGGCAGGTCCTAGTAGGCTAAGCCAGATCTTCTTTCTGAAGGAGGTTGTATTGGTTGTATTCATGGAGCAAAATTACTAGGAGGTGGGCATGGTGCAGAAGTCCATGATCCTTGCCTAAAGTGCCTGGATAGTAGGTAGGCCTAAGCAAGGGAGGACTAGTTTTCTTCCCTAGTACAAGAGGTTCCTGGACAATGTGGGTAAGCCTAAGTAGAGAAAGCCTGGTCCCCTTCTTGCTACAGGGGATATGCAGGCTGGGACCCTGGAGCAAAAATTCTAGAAGCTACAGGTAGGTTTGGCACAAGAGGCACCTGGAATATGATTTTCAGGAGGCATAGGAGGGCTTCATTTGGACAAGTGGTATGCAGGCTGAACTCCTAATACAGGAGTTTACCAGGGAGCTAGGCAAGGGAAATAAGGTCTCCCACTTTCTACTGAGAATGTTAATTCTTATGCCTGCAACTAAAGCACTTATGAGGCTAAGGCAGGATAATCATTAGTTTGAGGCCAGTCAGATACATAGTGAATTTAAGGACAGGCAGGGCTATATTATAAGACCTTGTTTCAAAAACAAAATACAAAACAAGGCAAAACAAAGAGTGGTGAAAACAGACAACCTTGCAAAGTTTTTAGCTTAGAGATTATCCTGTTTCAAAATTAAGTATGATGCTAGCTGTAACGAAACAAAACAAAATTAAAAGGGTATTGAAACTGTTTCCAAATCAAGGGGTAAAACTAACTGAAAAGTCCCTATTTTGATAAGAGCCAAACTGTTTTCATAAAAATCATTGGTTTTTAGAATAATACCGCAAAGAAATCCAAGTCTCCTGTATACTTACATGTGAAAAAGAGTGTAGTTTCATCCAGATGAATTGTCTTTGGCTTAATACATAAATCCACACTGGCAGTGTCCAGGCTCCGCTGGTGAGTTTTAGAATTATAGCATGATGCTGAGCGGCAGTGGTCACGAAGCCAGACATAATCAAAGCGCATCACAGTGCTAGCATATTGCAATTCTAGGGAAAAGGTCAGATTTAACATAAATACTTATTTAGGAAAACTAAACACAACAAGTCAAAAATATTCTTTCTAAAAGACTTTTACTAACCAAGTAAGAATAACAAAGGCCGGCCTTTTGTCAGTTATCAAAAATATTATACAATTTCTATGATGGAAATGGTATGATTTGGGTAAATAAAACACTAGGAGTATGAAAAGCTCAGATATATACCTAAATAGGAAAGATCGTACAATGATTTTTGTACTTTCTTTTTTTTTTAGCAATTCTTCGGTTATGTTGAAGTTATAAAAAAAATTAGAATAGAAAGTAAATGGTGTTCCTACATATCAGTTTACTTATTTAAAGCAAAATGAAGTAAAATTTACAAAAGCCACAGAAACTATAATATGTCTAAAAAATAAAATGTAGAAAAGTAATATGAAGAAATCTATAAAACTGTTCTAGAAGACTTGAAGGAAGTCAACATATTGAAATACCATGTTCACAGATAGGAGATTTCAAAGCTAGAAAGAGATAAATTGTTCTAGAAAGTCATGCACAAATTTCATGTAATACAAACCTATATATTAGAGATTTTCACATATTAGTCAAGGTAATTCTAAAACCTGTTGCGGTAAATATCCAACCCAAAAATGACCGGTCAATGAAAACACAACTCAGTAATTATGAGTATATGCTGCACGCCTATGAGACCCTTATAACTTGCTGGTTTTCCAAGCCATGTGTTTGTCCTTCTACCACTTGCTCCTCTGTCATCTTCCTTCTTTGTCATCATCCTCCAGGGCGATTCACAACAAAAAACCCATATTGAAAAATAATAAAGTAACAATTTTGAAAAAGAAGGTATGAGATACCAGCTATAAAAGCACATTATAAAATTATAGTTTTAAATGTATTAGTAGAATAGATCAAGAAAACAGGATGGTATTCCCAACTAGACCAATAAGTACATGGAAATATGGTATATGAAAAAGGTTGACATAACAGCATAAAGAAGATTGACTTCTCTATAAGTGACACTGGAAAGGTTGTCTTTCAGAGAACAGGAAATTCACTGTATCATTTAAAAAGTCAACTTCTGGAGATCATCATCTTGTCTGCTCCTCTGAAGAGCCCACAGACTGAAGGCCTCCCAGGGCACCCAGGGCAACAGGTAAACAGCAGCTGGTAAACCCAAGGAGCATAGCAGATGCAAGACTCATCCCCTCTACTCGAACTCCATCCCCCTTAAAGCATGCACCTTCCACTGAGGCAGATCAGCAGTTTGCCTGCCCCTCTGAATACACCACAGTCTAAAGGTCACCCAGGAGATCTACTGCATCCAGGGCAACAGGTAAGGGACCCTCTTAAATAATCACAGCAGCTGGGAACCCTGAAGAGCCCAGTGGAATTGGGACCCATCTCCTCTGCTTAAACTCTACTTCCCACAGGGGCAGATCATTAGATTGTCTGCCCCCCTGAAGACTCCACAGTCTGAAGGTCTCACAGTAGATCTGCTGCACTCGGGACACCAGACTCCACAGTCTAAAGGCCTCCCAGGTGACCTACTGCACCTAGGGCAACAGGACAAATCATCAGACTGTCTGCCCCTCTGAAGACCTCACAGTCTGAAAAACTTCCAGGAGATCTGCTGCACCCAAGACAACAGACCCCACAGTCTGAAGGCATCAAAGGAGATCTGCTGCATGCAGGGCAACAGATCAGCTACTTATCTGCCCCTCTGAAGACCCAAAAGTCTGAAGGCCTCCCAGGATATCTGCTATAGCCAGGGCCACAGGTCTCCTAGGAGACCTACAGTGACACAATGACACAGGAGGTGGGCTCCAGACAGAGACACCCAGGCCAGTTAACACCAGAGATAATCAGATGGTGAGAGGCACGAGCAAGACCATAAGCAACAGAAGCCAATATACTTTGGCATCATCAGAGCACAGTTCTCCCACCACAGCAAGATGTGAATACACCAACACACCTGAAAACCAGGATGCTGACCTAAAATCCTATCTCACAAAGATAAAAGAGTCCTTTAAGGAGGATATAAATAACTCACTGAAAGAAATACAGGAAAACACAGGTAAACAGGTAGAAGCCCTTAATGAGGAAAAAAATTAATCCTGTAAAGAAAAGGAAAACACAAACAGGGGAAGGGGTTGATCAAAGTTGTCTAAGACCTAAAAATGTAAATAGAAACAATAAAGAAAACACAAATGTAGGCAACCTTGGAAATGAAAAACCAATGAAAGAGGTTGGTAGCTGTAGTAAGATTTTCCCTGTCCAATCTATTTAAATATGAGTGCAGCAGGAGGCCTGTGATTGAACAGGGAAAGGGAGGCATAGCAAAGAGTTGGAGAGAGAGGGACACAAGGGAGAGAAGAGAATCAAGATGGAAGATCAACAGGAGGATTCAGAACCAGCGTGGCTTTAAGTAGCTACAGGTAGTTATGAATATCTTATAGGGTTTTGGGATAACTTGTCTAAATTGTGTGGTTATCTTGTGTATTGAGATTTTATTGATATACAGATCTGATTGGATAACTATAAGCTTTAAGAGTTATGATTTTGGAACTAACAGTCTTCATTTGGAAGTCTAGTTCTATACATTTTCAGAGACATATGGAAGTTAGCTGCAGTTTTCTATGCTGTTATATTAGCAAGAGATAAAGTTGGGGCAGGATCTGGTTTCAAACAGGTGTTAACATATGTGTTATAAGGCTCCTTTAATTGTCAAGTTAAAATTACTCTTGTTTCTTCTACAGTATTTAATGTAAGTTGCATTGATTATATACCTTCTAATTATGTTTGTGTTTTGAAATCAGGCATCTTAGTTATGGAGGTCTATCAACCAGCTTTTGTTTTATTGCCTTGAGTATCATAGAAACTTGGTTTTCTAAAAATAGCTTGCAAGTACTGAAAGAAATTAGTCAGGCTTTAAGCAGAAGCAAGAGGGTAGTGGGCTTGATTATTGCTGGTATAAAAGCTTTAATTACATTAATTGCTAGCACCACTGCTTCTGCAATTGCTTTGACATAAGAAGTTAGGACAGCTATTTTTGTTAATAATTTAGCAAAAAAATGTTACTAATGTGTTGAATATACAAGAGGATTTAGATAGGCATTTGGAACAACAGATTGATGCTCTTTATCCTATTCAAATTATTGGAAAGAGGTTCAGAGTGTGGAAGTCAGGAAGTGCATGCTGATAAGAGCCTGATATGGATATCTCCTCAGAGGTCTTCAAGAGTCTGACATACTCAGAGGCAGATGCTCACAACTAGCCATTGAACTGATCATGGGGTTCTCAATAGAGGAGTTAGAGTGAAGACTGAAGGAGAGCTGAAAGGATTTGCAGCACCATGAGGAGAGCAACAATACCAACCAACCACAGCTCCCAGGGTCTAAACCACCAGCCTGGGAGCACTTAGGGAGGGATCCAGCGCTTCAGTTGAATATGTAAGAGTGGAGGGCCCTGCTGGGCATAGGTG